TTTTTTTTTTTTTTTTTTTTTTTTTTTTTTTAAAATAGTTACAGAAAAGAGAGAGGAACTACGTCACGTACACCCAGATAAATAAGTGAGTGGAGAGAGGGAGAGGTTTTTTCCCCCTTTTTTTTTTTTTTTTTTTTTTTTTTTTTTTTTTTTTTTTTTTAACAATAAAAAAGAAAAAGTACAATAGTTGGAATTAGTAGACCCTATAATGATTAATGATTCTAATATAATAAATTTTTTTAAACAATCCCATTTCGCAGTTTGAAATGACGTGAGTCGAAAGGCCCGAATTGTTTTGTACATCCACCCCTTTTCTTTGTACACCCAGCCTCCCCCTGTTCATCCCTTCCCTCTGGAAAACTCACACACACACGCACAGCTCTGTTCATCCCCTCCCCTTGGTGTCATTTTTTTTTTTTTTAAGAAGAAGTAGAAAATTAGAGGAGGAAGAGGAACAAAGGAGGAGGAGGAAGAGGAGGAAGGAGGAGAAGGACTGGAGGGGCCCCAATTATTAGGGTTGGAGGCAGAGGCGGAGGCGGAGGCGGGGGGCGGAGGCACGATCGGGCAGAGGCGACGAGCTACGACGGCGGGCGGAGGCGACGAGCTCTTCTCTTCTCTTCTCTCCTCTTCTCTCTCTTTCTCCCTCTCTCCTCCTCTTCCCCTCTGTTCTCCTGTGTTCAACGAAGTTTAACGAAGAAGAAGAAGAAAATCGCAAAACGACGTGGTTTCAAATTTCGGGCCATTCGACCCTCACCCATTTCGAGCTACCACCTATTTTTCTTTTTAGAAATATTTGATTTTTTAGGAGACTATGTTTTCAACCTCTTTAAGTTTTGCAATAATACCCTATGAATTGTGTGGTATTAGAGTATTAGGCCTATTTAAAATTATTTTTCTTCTTCATTTAACAGTGAAAAAAATAATCATATCTTTTACTATAACCAAATCAATAGGACTATGTACCTAGAAATTAAACCCATAATTTTCAACAAAGAGCATAAGATTTATTATACACATAAATCACACATTATACTCATTCAATCTCCACCACATACTTAGATTTTGGGTAAAAATATAAACTCTTTTTTTTTTTTTTTTTTTTTATATTTCATAAGATGTAGTATCATTATCATTCACAATTACTCTATTTAATATAACACAAGTAGTGAGTATCGCTTGTTTGTGGAGGCTTTTTTTAAGTTTTTTTTAAAAATAATTTGAACCGTTAATATTATAGGATTTGTTGAATAGATCATCCATGCAAAAAACAAATTGATTGA